CACCCTGCTGCGCCTCCTGCACTCTGCGCCCCCAATCCTGCGCATCTGCACTCCTGCTTGCTACAGCCCTGTCCTTGCCTCACCTACAAAAAAAAATAGCCCATACCAGACAAAATTTTTTTTTCTTGCGTGGGCTAATTAATGATGGTTTTGATTGTTTCTGATGTTGTGTTGCTCGTCTTGCCTCTCGGTTTCGTTCAGTTTCATGTTGAATTTTGAATTTGTTTTTTCCTCTTAATATCCCCATTGTATTGCCAACACTTTGGAGGGGAAGATGGAGATGATTGCAGAGGGGGTGACATTACTGGTGAGCTTTTTGGGTGAAGAGGTGAGGAGGCGATGGAGATGATTGCAGAAGGGGCAAAGAAGGAGATGGAGATGATTGAGGAGCAGGGGCTGGATTTTTGAGAGATGATTGAGGAGTAGAGGCTGGATTTTTTAGCAGGGCTGTGTTTTTTAGACGAAAACGACGTCGTTTAATTTGGGACTCCAACTTTTTTTTGGGAGGTAGGACTGATACCCACTTTCCCGTATATATATATACATATACAAGTTCCTTTGGATGCCATCTCTTTTACTTTACTGGCGCGCATGCTTTGCAAATGATGTCCCAGACTCCCAGCAATAATGATTTTTTCTTCTTGGGTCACATACACTAAAAGGTGATTAATTTGAACCTGGCCCTTCGAGGTCCGTAACTCTAACCACACTTGTAAGGTTCATACTTTTTTCCCTAAGGGTAATGGTTCGAGTCGGTTTTATGATAAAATATTAAAAAAAAAAGTGATTAATTTATTACTCATTAAATTTTTATTATATAATAAAAATAATTTTTTATTTTTAATTTATTTTACTCATTTATTATATAATTTAAATTATTTAATTTTTATTAAAAAATAACCATTTAATTTTTTTAAACAACTACCATTTTTAAAGAATAGAGAAGGAGAATAGAGTGTAAAGTCCTAAAATTTTAACCGAGTAAATAACAAAGAGTATCATTTTTATCTATCTTATAAATCAAATTTAAAATTATTATTTAATTATTTAAATAATTATTATAAATCCATACTAATCAAATTCTATATTTATCTATCTCCACACGGACCACACCACACTCTGCTTTTCATGTTTTCTTTGAGTGCGACAATGAATGTATGTTAATCACTTTTTATCGTTTTGTCCCCACACCAAACTTAGCTTTTCGTGTTTTGTTCGGGTCATTCCACTTTTACAAAAGGTTGGAAATTTTCATTGTGAAAATGAAAATGGGATTTTACAAGTAATTTTATACCGTGTAACGCAGGGATTAATGATTTGTTGATTTGATAAGGATGTGTTTAGTTTTTTTTTTTAAGTAAGATTTTAAATTTAAATTCTGTAAATAGAAAGATAAATATTGATAAAATTTTTCATAAAATTTAATTTAATTTGAAATTAATTAAAAATTAATATAATTTTTAAATACTAAAAATATAATATCGAAAAAAAATCATGTAAAGTAAGGGCAAATTAGGAAGAGAAATTACGAGAAAAGGAGAGGAATCCAAGGCAGACGAAAAACTGAGCTGAGAAAGATACAGCTAAAATAATTGGATGAATTTTTTTTTTTAAAAGCCACAAATATAATTCACCACTCTAAATTATAAGTAAATTATAGGTAGATTATTTTTCTGGCAGAGAAAATAATAAGTAAATTAAAAAAATAGTTTATTCAGTGAATACCGGAACCTTATAATTCACTCATATCTGCTCATAGTTTTTGGTTCAGCATCTTCTTTAAATTCCCCACCGTCTCTGCAAAAGCATAATGCTAGGTAATAGGTGAATACCGAAACTAAAATTATAAATTAAAAATTTCGATAATCAATACTGAAAAAACAATAGGGAACTTTCTTTCTGTATTAATTTTGGTTAAAAAAAAAAAATTCTGTTAGTGAAAAATCGATGTAAGTGAAATATCCATCCTGTATCGACATTTCATTGTCTATTTTCAAAAAGGCAAAAGGTGCGGATCACCCCCTCAACTCAATCACTGGTGGCAAATCACCCCCTGAATCCACTTCACGCGCAAATCACTCCCTCAACTCACTCACAGTGGCAAATCACCCCCTTTATTAACACCGGCACCATCCTTCCGTTAGCTTTTAACGGTTCGCTCATAAGCCCTTTCTCCGTCGATGTCATCAAGTACCACCGACCCAGAAGTCATCTTCAAGCTGGCTCCCTGCGTGGTCTGTGTCTCCTGGCAATATGCCGCTCGATTACTCTATTTACGCTATCCCGGACTCAAATCCAACGCTCTATTAGTATTGCTTCCGCCGGAGAATCAAACAGGCCGGCAATGCTGTTGGATCTACAACTATTGCTCCTACAAAATCCACAGGATTTTTCTACCACAACTCCAAGGAGGATGGTATACTGCATCCTCTCATGGCTGGCGTCTCACCATTGCCAATCAAGCCATTCATCTTTTAAATCCCATCACCAGCGCCACCGTTAAGCTTCCTCTTGAGAAACGATTCAGGAGGCCGGAAATCGGCCAGATGAGTTCCAAGAAGCCGGAGTTTACGAGGGTGATCACCTCCACCATTTCGACGGATCCTCTTTGCAAAGTCCTGGCCATCCATCCCGGTAAACATGGACAGTTTTTCCTTTTGCAGAACAGGGGATCATGCATGGATCAGAATAAACAACTTCGTGGGACGGTGTTCCGATGCAATATTCTACAAGGGTGACTTCTACGCCATTGATTTTTACGGTAACATCTAGGTTATTCAACCTACTGTCAACAACTTTCAGAAAGCAGTGAAATTGAGTGTAGAACCAGTCAAAGAGGGATGCCAATGCTATTACTTGGTGGAGGTGAAGGGTGATCTATTGATGGGGGTGAAGAAACAATGTTTACTTAGTGCTTGTTATATTTACCGAATGGATTGGGAGAAGAAATCATGGGTTCGGATGAAAGCTAATGGAAGGATGGTGCCGATGTTAACAGAGGGGGTGATTTGCGCATGAAGTGGGTTGAGGGGGTGATTTGCCACTAATTGTTGAGTTGAGGGGGTGATCTGCACCTTTTGCCTTTCAAAAAATGAAAAAAAATACTGTATCGACATTTGCCGAGCCCTGAGAGTGCCAGGAGACACATTTCACATTGAGGTGTGGTCTAGTCTCTAGACCCTCATCCCCCTGGTATTGACAAGAGAGAAAGGAATCCCGAGGCAGAGAAAATATCTGAAGAAAGAGAGAGATACAATCGTGAATCGTGCGCGAAAAATAAGGTAAAATCTCACGTTACGTTGTTAAATTTATTTTAAATTTTTCATTAAATTTTTAAATTTTAATTAAAATAAATATTTTAAAAATTTATAGATTAAAAATTACGGAAAAAAACGAGGAACTAAAAAAAGGGAAAACCGGAGATTAGATGGGAATCGAAGACTGAGAAACAAACTTTTCCAAAAGAAAACACGGAAAGGCTGAGGAAGGGCGGCATTGAAGCCCCCGAGAGCTTTCCCCTTGTCCCTACTGTAGCTCTAAGGGTAATATTCATGACTCTTTTTTATGTATTAGTCTTCCATTAAGTTGTTAAGTCTTCCACCAAGTGTTAAGTCTTCCACTAACTCTTTCATTGACTTGCTTACTCCTTTTGTTTTCTTGAGCAAAATGGAAAATTTTATAAAAGATTTTTTATATTTTGTGTCTTTAAGTCAAAATATAAGAATATAATAAATATATTTTTATATAATTAATGTTTATTAAAATTATAAATTTTAATTTTAATT